AAAAAAAAAAACTTCATTATTGATGTTTGGCGTGCTCATCCTAATTTGGTATTACGGAGATTTCTTGATGTTTACACAGACCCAATCTTCCTTCTGAGAATACTGGATATTTGCCAAGAGCTGAAGGTAAATGTGATTCTGATCAAAACTGTTTCTGAAATATTTGACCATTTCTTTTGTGCCAAACTAGTCTTCTTATGCTTTATTAATTTTTATCTGCTTTGACAACTCTTACTAGTTCCGAACAACATTCTTGTGTCATTTTTTTCAGCTTTCTAAGGCTGGTGCATCTTATCTGAATAAAATTAGCTAAGCTGGCTGTCAAGAAGTTTTCTTTGAAAATTCTGTTTTTAAACAAGCTTTTGAAGTTGCTTCATGAAGCAACTTTTCAACAATAGCTTCACAACATAATTTAAGTAGAAGCTTACAAAAGGATACCTTAGTTTATTGATCTCTGTCTCAAATTGATATATTGGCTGGTAAGTCTAGAATCTTATGGTTTTTCTTATGATAAATTTGGTATCAAATTGATTTCAAAAGAATTGAAAAGTTTAGAAATATAAATATGAAATATTCAAATAAGTATAGTAAAATTTAAACAAATCCTCGACTGTTTATTCAGAACAGGGGCAAAATGGTCAATTTATCACAATCAGCTGTTTTCCATAAGCACCAACCAAACAGCCAGACAACTTATCCGGATCAGCTGCTCATCAGCAGATTATCAGGATAAGCTGCTTATCAGCAGAAGCTGGATAAGCTGCAGCTGCTCCAAACAGACCCTCAACCAGAGAATATTTTCTTACTCTTAAATCTCCTTCATCTAACTCTCCCATTCATGAAAATACCCTCCTTCTATCCTCCCAAATATGGGTTAACATTTATTTTATTTTAAATTACATGAAAGTTTATTTCCAATCAAAATATAATTAAAGTAAAAATAAAAAAATAAAAAGTTAAAGAGAAAAAGATATCAAGAGGCCCCTCAAGTCGTTTCACATCATTTTTATTTCTTATTTTTTATATCTTTATGTTTTATTTTTCTTTTATCTCGTTTAAAATTTACTTTAAATAAAACATATTTAGGTGATATTGTTTAAAAAGAAAAGCTAAAAATGCATAAAAAGTTATTTTAGGTTTTTAAATGTTAAAGTGAATTTATAATTACACAATTGACAACTAATAAAAATTTTATAGATAAAATATAACTTAAATATACCCCATTAAACAATCATGGCGACTCAGGATCTGTTTGGAGCATTTGTAACTGTTTGAAGAAGCAACTGTAAAGTTGTTGAAGAAGAAAATATTGTTCAAAAAGCTGCGGGTAAATTACAATTTTTTTTTAAATGTCAAATCATAGTTTTAAGCAGCCACTACAAGGTAGAGAAATTATTGCGTACGGACACCGCATGCATCTCTGCATGCATGCGGTGTCCGAGACGGTGATCTACGGTCAGGATATATTTCAGTTTAAAAAAAAATAAATTTGGTGAGCCCACCAAAATACATCCTGACCGTAGATCACCTGATTTACGATCATGATCAGACATCACATACATCTTGAATTAATTTTTCCTTCAACAATTATTTTTTAAGAACACAGATAAAATATAATTTTGTTCGATAAAATAATCTGTTGTGAAGCATCGTCGCCCCACAACTGCCCAAAACGCACCGTCGGATATCATTTCAAAGGTTGATAACAGCTCCGTGCTCCGTGCTCCGTGCACCGGTTTTATGCTGCTCTAACACTTAAAAACCCCGCAAGGCCGGTCCACTCAAATTTTAAGCGAACGAGTTGGATCCACCGCCACGCATAGCTCCCCGAAGAACCGACGGCTCGATGCAGTCGAGAGTCTAGCTCGGACCCGTTCCACGAGATAATCACGAAGCTCGAATCCCCAACCGTGCCACGAAACCCTAACCCTCCTTCCCCATTCCCCAACCACCGCCACCGGTCGTCAGCGATCAGAAGTCTTAACGTTACTGTTCGACTTCGGCAAAGCTCAAAGCTCGCCGGCCTTTCTACTGAAACCCTAATACTTCTCTCACAGGTAATTCTGCTCGACCAATCCCCCCCTTCATTTATTTTATGCTTTTTTTGCAGTTTGATTTCTTATCTTGAAATTCGATGAAAGGTTTGAAATCTTTAAATTGCATCTTGGGTCTGTTTGGTTCATCTTCATATCAAACCATGTCATGTATTAACATATGTTAGCTATTTGGTTTACTGATATATCTAAGGAAGATTTACATACATACCACTCAATTTCTATGTATTTACATCTGTAACACAGCTAAGCTTCACTTTTTACGTATTGGCCAACTTACCTCTACATGTAAATGTGTATTTCACTTTTTAAAAAGTTATAATAGTGGTATTTTTATGTGATATAAAAGATTTGGCTAGCATGAATATAAAAAGCAAAACTTTGGTGTCACATATGTAAATACAAAGGAATTGGGCGGTATTTATGTAAATTTATAAATAATTTTTATGTCTTAATTTCGTGCCATCTAGATGTTGACTTGTCCAACATCGCGGATGTTTATATATCTTAATATTTCATTTTTATAATCCTAAAAATACTTACATTTCAAAGTACAATAACACTACAGTATTTGATTGATATTAGTAACATTTAATAATATTGAAATCTCAATAATACTAGTATCTACATAACAATGAATCAAGTAAGCCCTTAAATTTGTTTTTGGTGCTGCCTAACTGGAAGTGTGCAACACGTAGATATGGCATTTCAATGTTGCCCATGCTTTTGCCTTATGTTCCTCTCTCAACCTCTTGGATTTCTCCATCAAAGAACAATCCCCTTCAATTTTCTTCTTTATTTGCTATGTTAGAAATGTGGAGAATAATCCCACATCAATTATGAAATAAAAATTTAAGCTTAAATTCTTTAGTTCATAAGTGTCCATCCACCGGTATATTGGGCTCAATCTAGGCCCCCTCCCTTCTAAGAAGTTTAAAACTGATGTTTTAGATGTGATTGGATGGTTCATGCTATTTGTGGATCAATTAGGATTCACTCATTTAAATTCCATTCAACTCAAAGTTGACTTGATTTACGTGTAGATCTATTGATAAATTCATTCACAAATACTTTTGTTGCACACCATGTACCGTGTTAGTATCTATGACAAATTATAGCTCATATGCAGTTTGTAAGTTATGATGAGTGTTGTGACACGTGATTTTTTACATAAAATTCTGTGTGTAGGGAAGAATGAGGGCCCCTTAAAAAAGAAAAAAAGAATGAGGGGACCTAGGCCCATTGAAGTAGGGTTCATTGGTTATGGTTTTTTATTACAACATACCACTATTCCCCAAACTTGTATAGGGCATTGATACAAAGTGGGTAGAATTAGGTTGTTGGATGTACCTCCATTGATTGTGGCACTTGATGATCAAGGAGCCTTTTGAGAATGACTAGGACAGTCCTTCTAAAGACAAAAATGGAAGAATAAGCAATATAAATTTTTGGGGCTGTATGGTAACATATTTAAGTAGGATTTAAATTAATTCTTGCCCCACATAAAAAAAAATGACATTTTTAAATCCATGATATAGTAAATTCAATTCCTTCTCATTTTCTTTTTTAATTTTGTCTTAAATTCAGGATATACTAAATTCTTTTGTTGGCAGGATTTAGTAAATTTGGATATACAAGATTTACTAAAGCTGCTAAAGCCATTACCATACAACCGCTTAGAGTACTATTGAGGTTGATTTACTATTTTTTAAGAGGAGCATTCCAGTCCTTTTTAAAAATATGCCTGAACAATCCTAATAGTTATCAATATAATTGCTTGTTTGCTATTTCTATTATGCTTCGCAGTGGCGAAATCATTCCTTGCTTTAGGATAGTAGTTTGATTCTTCTTGGAGGTCTGCCAGTACTGCAAACATTGATTTGGTTTCATTTCTTTTGCTGTTTATAGTGCTGAAATGTTTTAAGATTTCATCAAGGAGTCAAGTTTGTGTTGTAGCAATGGAGAAAGCCGCTGAAAAACCACTCCATGATAGTGATAGAGATGAAAGTGATGAGGAGATGGAAGTTCTATCTTCTAACACATCTGGAGAAGAAGATAACTGTAATGTTGAGCTATCTGATGTTTTATCCCCTGAGCAGGCTAAGAAACAACTAATGGAACAGGTTGTTTACAACGAGAAAGATGCTTACAAACTATATCGTGATTACGGGCGGAATATGGGCTTCAATGTCCGTAAGGGGAAACAATATTATTACATTGGATCTAGAAACATCCGGAAGAAATATTACTATTGTTCCAAAGAAGGAACAAAGATCGACAAACTTAGTAACAAGTCTAAGTTTCATAGAAAGGATGTTAGAACAGGATGTAAAGCATTTGTACAATTTACAGTTGATCAGAAGGGGCAATGGAAGGTGACTCAGTTGGGTGTAGAGCATAACCATGACTTGGTTAAGCCGAAACGAAGACGTGTGTCGAAGACTATAAGTTCATCTAAAATTGCCGAAGCTTGCTCATCGTATCCAACCATGGACGCTGAAATTCATACATCAAATGTCGATTCCAGTGGTGGCATTGCTGAAAATGGCGATAGTTACGTCAACTCGGAGCAAATGGCGCCAATCAAAACACGAGAAAATCAAAATATAATTAGTTATTTTAGACAAAAAGCTGGCGAGAACGGCATGTTTTACTGGGATGTGCAGGTTGATCATGAAGGTAGAATGGGAAACATATTCTGGAGAGATGGAAGATCAAGAATTGACTATAATTACTTTGGTGATGTTGTTTTTTTTGATAAAAGTTCTCACATAAACAGATATGAAATTACATTTGTAATATTCATGGGGGTTAATCACCATTGGCAAAATGTCATGTTTGGATGTGCGTTCTTATTAGATGAAACAGAATCTTCTTTTGTTTGGCTTTTGAAGACATTTTTGGAATCGATGGGAAATCAACCTCCAAAAACTGTTGTCACAAATGATGATGAAGCGTTACAAAAAGCCATAGAGCTTGTGTTTCCTTCTACTCGGCATCGTTTTTGTTTACGGTGGGTATCGAAAAGCGCTTCTTTATATTTTGGCAATATTAGTTCAAGCAAAAGGCTCCTACACTTATTTGATAAATGTTTGCATGGATGTGAGTCAGAGATGGAATTTGAAGAAATATGGAGAAAGTTGGTCTTTGAATACGGCATCGAAGATCTTGAATGGCTCAACAAGCTATATATGAACCGGCGGAAATGGTGCTCCGCTTTTTGCGAAGATTGTTTTGATGGCGGTATCGAGTCATCGCAGCGGTCTGAGAACATTGAAAATGTTCTGAGTAGCATAGTTGATCGATCAACTTCACTTAGTGAGTTCACACATGAATATGACAAACTCGTTGAAGTTTTGCGTCAAAATGAAGCTAAGGAGGACTTTCTCTGCTGGCAAAATGGTCCTCGACGTGCGATCGAGCATAGCGATATTTTGAAACATGCGGCTAAAATTTATACACATAAGATTTATAAATTATTTGAGGAAGAATTTCTCGATGGATGTTGCGCGGCATCGTTCAAAGAGATTTCGTGCGGCTGTGATTTGTATAGATTTGAGTTGACAATGCAAGGGAGAGATTCAAAGGCGTGGACTGTCCACATCGATGTTTCTAAAATGGAGCTCTCTTGTTCTTGTAACAAATTCAACTCCATGGGAGTACTTTGCTCCCATGCTCTGAAAGCTCTGAGTCTCAAAAATGTGAACAGAATTCCTGATAAATATATTATCAAAAGGTGGACTAAAGATGCAAGGAAAGGATTTTATAGGTTTGAAGACACGGAGAATGAATTTATATATCGTAACCTCACTATTCAATACGCATACGAACTTGTAATGCGAAGCGAAGGTCATAAGCAGACCAGAAAAATCATTTGGGACGCATTTGCGTTGGGGGAAAAAGAACTTGATTCATTTATTGAGAAGAAATGTTTTGATGAAATTTTGGGATTTAGAGATAACTCGGATGAATCTGCAGGCGAAGCTGTTGATAAAATGTTAAAAAGATCATCGCCAACGAAATCAAATTCTAGTAAGTTGTTTTTTTTTTTTGTTTCAAACTTGTATTTTTATGTAGTTTCAAGTTTCAATGAACTTTGCCTTAAGTTAGGAAGATTTGCATACACACCACTCAATTCTCATGTACTTATCTAGCACCCAAACTCATACATACCACCTTAACTATATATGAAAATGTGTATTTAATTTTTAAAAAGTTAAAATGATGGCATTTTTTATGTGATATGAATAATTTGGGCGGTATAAATGTAAAAAGTAAAGTTTAGGTGTAATTTGGTATGTATGTAACTGTCCTTTTAAGTTATTTTATTTTGTTTCTTCTTTTGTCAAGGAGAAACGAAGAAACGGCGATTTGTCGATCGACTTCGAGGCCATGAGCATGGTGAATCGAATTGCAGCACATTTCCTCTTCTATGTAATGCAACCTCTGCAGCTTCCCAGATTGGATTTTTCCCTTCTCCGTCGCCGGGTTGTTTCTCGCCTCCAATCTTCACTCCAGTATCACAAATGCCAGCGCAGGTATATAAGTTTTTGTGAAAAATTATGATCAAATAATCTTTGAATGTTATGGCCATAGGAACATTGAAGTATTTTAGATAACATTGAATTAAACCAACTCATTAGTCCGTTCGCTTAATCGATTTTTCAATCTTGTGACAGATATCGAACATTAATTGGGTTCTCGAATCACCTTCTGCTTATTCATTAAATTTGCAAGGAAATCACAACGCTGCTCAGAATCTCAACCTATGATATACTTGTTCTACTTCTGATGGCAACATGCTAACATTCAAGGTGAAATAAACCTTTGTTTTTTACATTTATACCGCTCAAATCTTTCATTTTATATAAAAAAAATATCAGCTGTTTACTTTTAAAAAGTGAAATACGCCTTTGGAGGCATTGGCGAGGCGGTATATGTGTAAAAATTGAAGTTTAGGCATTAGATATGTTAATATATAGCAATTGAGTGCGGTATGTGTGTAAATCTTCCAAAAATAAATTTAAAGTTGTGTAAATAATCACCAATATAAAGAGGCTGTGTTGCAAAATTTTTGAAGTCCTGGTTAGCTTCAGCTTAAGATAATAGTCATAAATAAAGTCTCCTTTTGCTCTCTAAAATCTGTTCATGTGTTGTATATATTTAGGTTTATGAAACTTATTTATTTACATATCTAACCCTAATAATCTGGTTGATGTCTTCCATTAAGGGTCTGATTGGTGTGGTTGCAAAAATTTTTTTTTTTTTTTTGTTAAAAATGCTGTAAAGTTGTGGAGAAAATAATTTTTTAAAAAATTACGGTGAAAATTATCAATATATACATCACAATGAAATAGTTCCTAAACAGAATTGTTGTGGTTGTCTGAAATGTAAAATTGGAAGAAAATTATCCCAAACAAACCCTAAATTAGGGGCGTGCAAAATGAAATTTGATTAATCCAAAATTTTTAATAAATTGGTTATTATTGTTTAGTTTGATTGAATGTTAATTTTATTTATATTTTATGTTTTCTTAGATAATTGAGATTAGTGATCCAACGGCTATAATAATTTGTTAATTTTTCTGTTATTTATTTATTTGTTATGGCTTAATATGGTATCTGCAAGAAAAATAGAATGATATATAAGGAAGAAAGTTAAGAAAAACATATTTGAGAAGCTCTTGTCAAATTTCTTTGTAGAGCATTGGAGAATAAATTCACCAACAAATTTTCATCATCTGGCACGAATCTCGATGTAATATTTTAAACAAGAAACATTCAAACTTCAATCGAAAGTCATCGAGGACTCCAATTTCAGCTAATTTATGTTCAAATTGATCGGCTCGATGAAACGGACCTAATAATATCAACGTTAGTCTAATCTGAGTCAAATCAAACCTAGATCAAGGCAATAAATCACTCTTAGAGGACTTCTGAACACATTTGGAATGTAGATTTAATGTCGGCGCTATCAAGTCTATACTCAAATCGAGCGTCTCGATAAGACGAATCTAACGAGCCCAAGATTTCTCAATTATAACATCATTAAGACACTAAATGTCCATTAAACGACATATGGTTGAGGGAAGCTCTCCAGACCGTCCGATTAAAATGGTTCATATTCTTGCATTAATGACATCCAAAACACTGTAAATAGACCCCTACCTCTCTCATGGGAGGAGAGCTGAAGCCTTGGGAAAGAACTTGAGACTTTGAGAAGGAGCTGAAGTTCAGCACTACCGCCGATCATCGTCGACCACAGCCGACCTCTGACGATCACTGTGGACCAGACACCGTCAGTCAATGTCGTAACTTAAAAAATCTAGTAACATTTCATGTCTATGAGACTACAGCTCACCACTACGATCAATGTGCCAACAACAACCTACATGGTCATCAGCTCGTACAGTTCCTGACTCCGAGCCCAGCGACCTACAGACGTCCCCAATCACCTACTACGTCATCAGCTCATGCAGTTCTTGATTCCGACCCCAACGGCCTCCCCCCCCCAAAGACCTATGTGATCATCAGCTCATACAGTTCCGAACTTCGACCCCAGTAGCCTATGAACGTCATCAATACTCGCCCCAACAACCTATGTGGTCATCGGCTCATACAGCTCCTGACTCCGGCCTTTGTGGTCTACAGACATCATTAATACTCACTACACTACAATAGTAGCGTCTCACACAATGACACATATATTCTCAATATAATTTCCAAATATGTAAAAGAATTTTGTTTCACTCATTCAATCCCCGCCCAACAACAAACCCCATCTACTTCATTGAATGCAAATCGTTTGCCATTTCTCCGCATTGGTTGGTGTGAATGTTACCTTTAGCTTTCTATCAGATTATATATTATCATTATTGGTGGATATGATTTTTTTTTTTCAAAATGATTAAAATTTTGTAGAGCGCACATCCACAAATTATTTATGGCTCTAGATTTAATCTTAAATAAATGAATTAATTACATTATTATATCCCATCATCACCAATTCATAGCTTGGTTTCTAATAAACAAAGGGAACAAAACTTGTGATTTTTAAAAAGATACCCTAAAACATTTAGCCGTAAGAAAATCAACCGTTGAGCTGGCAAAACGGCATTTGCTGTTCAGCCCAACTCAGCTGATCAGAAGGAATCCCTTGCCGCTGGGAAGGAATCATTCCATGGTCCCACACCCACCTTCCAGGCCAATCCAATACAAGCGACATTTTCCCAGCAAAATGTGGGACCCACATCACCAATTGTGTTGAAGCATTCCGAGGGCTCATTTTTTTAATTGCATCATTAAAACATTATTATCTTGCCCCTTTTAACGCTGAGCTGATAATATCCCAACTTCAGTGGCAATTTCGAAAATATATAAATTCACATCGAGTGAGTGCTTCTGTCTATCCGCATATAAAGCTGAGTCCCACTAGCGCTCTCTTTACAGGCGGAGCAGCTCCTCCCAAATGGAAGCTGAAGACGTCGTCTTCTCTCTCTTTGATACCTACTGGTTCCAAACCCTAATACTCTACCGGATTCGTCCGCCGCCTCCGGCAAGTTCGAGCAAGGAGATCGCCATCGATCCCATCTATGCCGAATCTCTCTCATCGGATCCTTCGCTATCTCCGCCTCCCTCGAACCTTCTACTGCGCCGGCATCGTCGATCTCAAAGCGACGAGATCGCCCCCTTCACAGCTCTCCAAACACAATCTCCCAAGCTCCGGACCATTTTTTCTGGCAAGGTGGACGCAGGGGATCCGCATCGGATTGCTCTGCCGGTCGGCATAAGCAGAGAGCGGAGATTTAGACGGGATCTGGTTCGGCGGGGGATGAGACGGCGGGTGAAGGAGGGAGAAAGCAAGAGTCTCTCAGATCTGGAGTTCGAAGAGCTGAAGGGCTTCATCGATCTCGGATTCACGTTCCCTGATGTTGAGGCGGCGGATCCGCGGCTGATTTCGATCGTCCCGGGGCTTCAGCGTCTGAGGGAGGGAGGTTTGGATGGAAGGGATTCAGCGGAGGACACCTCCTCGTCGGCATCGGATGTTGCGGAGATTGGCGCGGTTGCGAGGGCTCCGTATCTCTCTGAGGCGTGGGAAGCTGCAGAGGTGGAGGAGGAAAGCTGTAATGCTCTTTTGAAGTACTGGCGGATTCCAGCTGCCAGCGAGGATATTGATATGAAGGATCATCTCCGTTTGTGGGCTCATGCGGTGGCGTCTGCGGTTCGTTGATTCGCTGATTGGACTCTCTGGTTTAATTTTGCTGTTAAGCTCTTCTTCTCATCGTCTCCTCAATTGCAACCGACGATTTTGTAGAAATACTAATTAGAACCTCTCCCTCTCTCTCCCTCTCCCTCTCCATCTTCCTACTTTGCTGCTCGAGTTGTTCTGTTCAATTTTCTACGCTTGTTTTGTTTTGTTTTATCACGATGATCAATCAGGTTTCGGAAACAACTGTAAATGAATGAAACCTTCAGTTCTTTTCACAGTTTATACGACTTTCTCAGCGATCTAATATTCAATCTTTTCAAATGTTTGAACACTACTGATTCACCGTAAATTCAAATCGAAAATAGAAATCTAATTTTAATCAAGCATACAGACACAAAAAAAGACATAAGAAAGACGAAGATATCATACTTTGGTGGTCTTCTTTTCCATCACCCGCTCTGTTACTGTGCTCAAAATCCATATTACTGTATGAAGTTATCCTGCATCTAATTACTGTGATAGTTCAAAAAATTTCAATTCTTATCTTTCATTTTGATCAAATTCCTAATAATTTAATGATGGCATGCATAAATATATGAATTTGATTGTCAAAAAAAATTTGGATAATCAATTTATACATAGCAATGTTATAATTATTTTATTACGATGTTTAGAATTTTCCAAGTTGCTCAATTTTGATATTTTGAATTTTGTTGGATATCAATTTTGGGGTAATTACAAATCGACCATCTTAAACATTGATATTTACAAATTTACCGCCCAGTGATTTTTTTTAACTACCGAACCGATGTAAATTTTGATAATTGAGTGAGAATTTGAAAATTGGATAAAGAGGGTGGTTGATTTGTAAATAGCAAGATTCGGGTGGTCTATATGTAATTTTCCCTTTTTTATTGCCAAATTCATAATCAATGTTGAAAGATTTATGAGATAAGCTAAGCTTTTTTTTTTTTTTTTTTACATGAATAATTATATGTTTATTGAATTCTTTTAGGAAGTCAGGTCCCGTATTATTCATAAGTTTACATAAACCAAGGAGAGATCTGTGTAAGAAAGCTGAATGAAAATGATGGTCTTTTTTTCTATACGTAAATTATATGATATGTTTTCTAATTCTCCTTCAGCAGAGCGGAGAAGATGATCTAATGTGAGAAGATAGCAAGAGATGTCTTATGAGAATCATGGCATTAGATGTAGTAAGTCTGTCCACAAAATTCAGTTCATAAATGAGGATAAGGCCTATGCCAATTCTTGATGTTGGTCTTTACTTTTACGTCTTGTCAATTTCGAGGACCACCTGTGAGACGAGCTCGGTGGAGGAGTTTGAATAATTTGTTAGGTCGGTCGCTTCTCGATCAATTTGTCGAGAGAATCCAACCGGTCAGTTCGACAAGTTAGCTTGACAACTCATATAAGACAATGGACATATCAACAAACAAGATTGACATATCACCTTAACAAATCATTTTGATGAAAATCATGTCTTCTGAATAATTGGACTTATCAGACTCACAAGGCCTGCAAGACGCACGCTTTGACCCACGAAAATTGATTTATTGCATACAATATGCAAATTTGATCCCACATTAGAAATAATCTATATCATCAACCAACCCCCGCAAAATTCCCTCTAAAACATGCCCGGCCACCCACAAGTGATCTCATACAAAAACATCCATATCATCCAACAAATATCTTACAAACAAGTAAGAAAATGTCACTATTAAGAATTTTTAAATGTTCAAAATTTTGAATGAGTTTTTTTTTTTAATAATTTTAAACATTTAATAATAATAGATAACACAAGTTTAATATGATGCTAAAGAATAATAATTAAAACTAATAAAATT